TAAAAACCTAACTGCTCTGCTGAGGGCATTGAAAATACACAATGTTATTTATTTTTTTGGTGTATTGGAAGTTTCTCTAGACTAAGAGTCAAAAGCTTTGGGTTCTAACTTGGTTTGGCCCTTGAGAATTCATGATATTCAGTAGTGCTATTCAAGAAACATTTATTAAGCTCCTTTGATACGGTAGGTAATTTGTTAGAAATATAACAATGAGTAACTAGAGAATTCCTTCATTATATGATCAATACTGGAGCCCTGCTGGTGTAGTGGTTAAGAGCTCGGCTGCTAATAAAAAGGTCAGCTGTTCGAATCCACCAGCCACTCATTGGAAGTCTAAGGAGCAGTTCTACTCTGTTCTGTAGGGCTGCTGTGAGTCGGAATCCAATCAATGGCAATGGGTTCGTTTTTGTTTGGTTGTTTGTTTTATGATCAATACTGTTACTGCAAAGACTTCCATTTCTGATCTATAAAGCCAAGATTTATGGGAGAAATGCATCTTCAAATATTTTGATTGTAACTTTCTTCGTTTTCTTTCAACAAACACTGAAGATTATTTAGAACTTCTAGGCAATAGGTATCCAAAGACGAATAGATTGCTCTCAGGAGCACAAGCCTATTCAGGCCTTATTCATCTTTTGATTCTCAAAGCTGAGCATAGTGTTGGACACAAAGAGTTGGTTCTACAAATATTTGATGAATGGCAAAGAGAAAGGAAAGAGGAAAAGAAGGAAGGGAGAAGGGAAGGAAGGAAAGAAGGGAAAAAGGGAGAAGGGAATGAAGGAAAGGAAACAATTCTGCTTGCTTAAGATCTTCCCTAGGGACAGAAATGTCATTGCTTGTCATTTCCTTAATGAGTTCAAGGCTATGCATGGGTCCAAAATTCATGATCCTAGCAAGTGTGGACATCTTAATTCAAATATCTAGATGGATGCCTGTTATAAATTCACCAGGGACAGCATCTTGCTTTATTTTGGTTTCTTAGACAGTGTTGGTCTAAGGGTCCCAGGTTTATATACAATATCAGAATTGGATGAGATCTTGGGGATCCAGTTCCACCTCTTGTTTTGCAGGTGAGGGATCCCATCCCAGAATCACTGCCGACAGTCACATAGCCAGTTTCCTGCTAAGGTAAATCCAGAATGGCCTCTCTCCTCTTTTGCTGCCCTTTCTTTAACAATGTAAAATCTATACAACAGTGTAAACAGCTAATTCTTACCCACCTATGAGGGTAGGAGAGAGCAAACAAGTACCCCAAATGCCAAACCCCCCAACTGCTGCAAATACTCAAGTAAGCCTCATTGAAATGGGCTGCGTATCACGGCAGAGAGAGGGTGGGATGTGTGAAGTCCACCTGCTACCTGTGCACCTTGCGAGGGATGAGCCCCCAGTCACTGTGATCTCAGCCATGAGGCTACTTGGTTGAGAGCTCAACCTCAGGGTAGGAAAATAGGTGAGCACCTCCATTCAGGGCTTTGATGGGATTTGGGGAGAACTCTGTTCCCCACATCTTCTCTCTGCACTGATGTTAATACTTGATAGCAAGCCATACTTCTTTTGTTATTTATCTGGGACGCCGAAGACTATGAAGATAATAGTAACAACAACAACTGACATTTAATGACCCCTGGCCGTGTGGTCACGATGAGTCAATTGACTCGTAGGCAACAGTTTTTTTTGGTTTGGGCCATGTAGAGAGCATTGTACAAAGTGCTTAACATGTATTCTCTTATTTAATCCTCACCACATCCTATAGAAGGAGCCCTGGTGGAGCAAAGGTTAAGCACTGGGCTATTAACAGAAAGGTCAGTGGTTCAAACCCATCCAGCAGCTCAGGGGAAGAAAAGACCTGGCAATCTGCTCCCACAAAGATTACAGCCTGGAAACCCTATGGGGCAGTTCTACTCTGTCATATAGGGTCATTATGAGTCAGAATCCACTCGACAGTACACAACAATACCCCGTGCAATACACACTGTTATTATCCCCAATTTGCATATGGGGAAACTAGAGGTTAAGTAATCTGCCCAAGGTCGCACAGCCTGAAGGGGCAGAGTTCCATCCAAATCCAGGCAGGCTTTAAAGTTTGACACCTGTGCTGAAACAGCAGTCAGGTGACTTACGGCAAGTCACTTAACCTCTCAGAACCTCAGTTTGTTATTTACTAGGGGTAATGATACCTGCTTGTGGGTGTGTCATGCAGATTAGATATAATACGTGTAAAGTGCTTGGTACAGAGTCTCAAACCCAAACCCACTGCCATCAAGTCAATTCAGACTCACAGTGACCCTATAGGACAGAGTAGAACTGCCCCACAGTGTTTCCAAGGCTGTAAATCTTCATGGAAGCAGACTGCCACAGCTTTCTCCCGTGGAGCTGATAGTGGGTTCGAACTGCCTACCTTTTGGTTAGCAGCCAAGCGCTTTAACCACTGCACCACAGGGCTCCTTATGCAGAGTCTAGCAAGCAGAAAAGTCTTCATACAGGGAAACTATTCGAGTGTCCTCTTCCTGTTGTTCTCATTTACTTTACCAAAACTCACGGGAGAAGAAATATATTTTGTCTCCTACTGCCCCGATGAGAATAAGTATGAAAAGAGGGCACACTGAGGACACTAGAAGGCCATGGGATAGAGTAAGGGATCCTAAAGACTTTTAACTTATCACAATTTGGTCCACATCTGTCTGACAACGGGAAACAGGCTATTATCCATGCCATAGAACGAGACAGTGGATATTTATGTCCTGAACAACGGAGAGCCTACCAGACCCTTAAAGGACATTATTCCTGGACCCCTCTGGGACTCCAGGGGAAAACTGAGCTTACTTCTAGAGTAATACAATAGCCATTCCATAGACCAGTTGCAGAGGGCGTTTGCAGGTGTCTCATCTCATCCTCATAGCAACCCTGTGAAGTAAGGATTATTTTGCCTGTTTCATAGAGGAGGATACAAACCTAAATCAGCGTGACTCAGAAGTCCATGATCTTAAAATACCCTGCTTATTAGGAATTATTGGTTGCAAGAAAGAGAAATCAATTCAATATACTGTAAACAAAAGGAAAAAAAATATTATGAAAGGAGTATTTCACCAGGTGAAGATTACTCAACAAGCAAGGTAAGATGTGGTGAAAAAAATGTGGTGAAACTGTTCACACAGATTAGTAAGTAAGCACAAGTAAGACTTACCTTGCTTATAAGGTAATTCACCCCTATATTTCACAGATCCCTAATGAGCCAGAGTTCAGAAGAGAAAGCAGTCAGCTCTCTCTCTCTTTCTCCCTCATATTTTCACCAAAGTCTTCCCTTTCTCTTTGTATAACACCTCTCTACACTTCTTAAGCCCCGTTGTATAATAAGTCACTCCAAACTTCTGAAGTTACAGGCTACTGGCCCAATGTGTCATGAAGGCTTCTCTTCTTTTCTCCCAGGAGAAAAATCTTATTGGTCCAGTTTAAGTCAGGTGTTTTCCCCTGATCCAGTCACTGAGGACCAGAGCAAGTGTGGCAACCAGGAACCAGCCCTGTGAATTGCAGAGCATAGAGGAAGGGATTGATGCTCAGGGGGTGGATAAGCACTAGAAAAGCTATTCCCTATAGCTAGACTACTTTCCTCTAAGGTGTTCAAGCATGTTTATCATTTTAGAAAATTCAGTAACCTGAATTATCTACACAAGCTTTAATTGAGGAATGTGTAACAAATATGTTAGGTGGCTGGAGACCTAGACTTAGGGAGAGCAATTCTTAAACTAGAATGTAGAGTATCCAATTAAAGTAAAATGCAGCATACCAACCTCGGGCAGAAGGCTTTAAATGTTGTCTGGGTTCTATAACAATGCTGTCCATAGAATTAAAATACAAGCCAAGAGATGTATGAAATTTTAAACTTTTTAGTGGTCACATTTTTTAAGAAGTGAAAAAGAGGTAAAATTCACTTTATTAATATACTTTATTTAACTCAATATCCAAAATAGTATCACTTCAATGTGTTATTTATATGAAATATTATTAATGATGTTTTACATGATTTTTTGTACCAAATCTTCAAAATCTGATGTGTATTTTATATTTACTGCACATCTCCATTTGGATGCTGTATTTTCATTGGAAATACCTGATCTATATTTAGATTTCATAAAAGTACAATTTAAAACATAGACCTGCAATCACAGTTTTCATTACTTTATGCTTTCCTTAATTAGTTATGTGAGATGAAATTAATTCATCCCAAGGTTTTTTTTCCTGAGCTGATCTGATGCCCTGACTATTCATCCTATGCAGAAGTGATCATGGGGAAAATGCCCACAAAATAGCTGGAAAGTAGGAAATACATTTTGTTCACTTCTTCACATGGTCTATATAATAGTAAATATTTCTTTTTTTTATAGATTGACTAAACTGAGTTTTTTTTAATATATATATTGACTAAAATGTGTATATTGGGAATTTTGGGGATTTCTTGTTACTTTTTTTTGCATTGCATATTGGGGAAGTGTCAGAAGATACTGACAGTGCAAATCTGATGACAATATGCAAGTAGCTGACATTTGTTCCCTCCTGATAATTCTTGTAGGTCCCTGAGTGGCATAAGCAGTTTGCACTGGACTACTAAACTAAAGGTTGGCAGCTTGAACCCACCCAGCTGCACCACAGAAGACAGGCCTGGCAGTCTGCTTCCGAAAGGTCACAGCCTTGAAAAACTCCATGGAGCACAGTTCTACTCTGTAACACATGGGATAGTCATGAGTCAGAATTGACTGGATGGCAGTGGGTTTGGTTTTGGTAATTCTAGTGGACAGCAGGTATTAGCACGGAGGCAACAGCCATAGGAGAGCACCCAGGCCACTTCCAGGAGCTACTGGAAGAAGCAGCTGGGTAATAGTCTGTGAGTAAAATCATATAAAGGCAACACACTCCTAACAACCTCTAGTGTGGTTCCAGGGAAAGTCTTTTGCCAAAAAAATAGGCTCAAGTCCCTTGAACTGCTTCAAAGATGTTCCAGCTGCTCATAATCTCCTCCCTTTGTGATTACTGAGCCTGGAAGAGCCTCGACTTTTCTTATTCTTTGTTTTATTAGTGCTTTGACTTGAGGAAGGAAGAGACTGCTCCAGTTCTCTTTTCTTGGCATCCCAGTCTTCATCCCACTGATCTAACGGCAGCCCGTTCTGCTGGGCGATGCGGCGGTGGTCCCTGCACTCAACCTCCGCCCTAGAAAAGGGAGAAGAGAGAGGTTTCTTAACACGTGGAGCAAGAGAGCCTCTCCTTGGCTTTGGAATCTGCCTCTCTCCCCACCTTCTGAACACCAAATGGATAATTCAGCAGCCCATAGGGAAGGAAGAAGACCAAGTTTGAGCATTGCAAAGTGCACACTCAGGGAGGTCTCAGGCACTAAAGAAACTACAATGAAGTAGAGAAAAAACTGGTGTGATGTGACCCTAGTGAGATGTTAATAGAATCAAAGACAGGTGCTTAGCTGAAGAAGGACTGCTAATTCTTAAAGTACTCACATCTGTACAGCAACCAGTATATTATTGGGATGGCTATTTCCTTCATTTATTTTTTAATTATATTTTTTCCTAATTATAAAAGTTACTTGGTTATCTTGGAAAATATTGAGGAAAAGAAAAATAAAAAAGCAAAAGATGATTAATTATAAAAGTTACATATGTTCATTATATAAAATTTAGAAGTACACAAATGTAAGAAAATAAAAATCACTCATCATCACATATATATGTTTTGATGGATTATATAAAGAATAGATATTTATAGATGAATTATTGTTATTGCTGTGTACCAGTTGAGTCGGACCCTATATGACAGAGTAGAATTGCCCCATGGGTTTGTAGGCTGTAATCTTTACGGGACCAAATTACCAGGTCTTTTCTCCTGCTGAGTGGCTGGTGGGTTCAAACTATCAACATTTTCGTTAGCAGCTAAGTGGTTAACCATTGAGCTACCAAGGCTCCTTATAGACAGATAGATGGATGAATGGATGGATTAGACTGACCCACAGGTGGACGGACAGATCAATCGATCATCATACATATGTGGACAATGGGAAGCACACATACATACAGTTTTGTATATGAGGCCAAAGGTGAGTGAGGGACTTGCCTAGAGACATTGCTGAAAGCCACTCCATAGAGATACAATTTGGATCAATATGAGGGCAAATGGAATTTGAGAGTTAGAGAATAGAACAGGCAAACCAAACACCAAACCTGCTCCCGTCAAGTTAATTCCAACTCATGGTGACCCCATGTGTTACAGAGTAGAATTGCTCCATAGGGTTTTCTTCATTGTGATCTTTATGGAAGCAGTTCGCCAGGACTTTCTTCTTCGGCAGAACAGCTGGGTGGGTTTGAACTTCCAAACTTTAGGTTTGCAGCCTATCACAAACTACTTGTGCCACACAGGCTCTTCAGGACAGCTAAAGCAAACGGTATTTTAAGCACAAAGTATCACAAAAAACACAGTTCATTCAGAGGACAGGAAATCTGCCTATCACTCACCTATTACCACTCCCCACCTCCAACAAACTGGAAATAATCTTTCAGTCTTCAGGCTGCACAGCATTCTTTATCTGCCCTGGTCTTTTGACCCTTGTCACTTTCCTTTTTGTATTAGGGTCATTTACAAGTTATCCCTTGTCCCAGACAGGGAACATCTTTTTATTTTTTGCTTTTTTTAGTGAAAATATACACTGCAAAACATACACCAATTCAACAATTTCTACATGTACAACTCAGTTACATTGATTACATTCTTCAAGTTGTGCAACCTTTCACGATATCCTTTTCTAAATTATTTCACCACCATTACGATAAACTTACTGCTCCCTAAGCTTCTCAACTAACCTTTCTAATTGCTGTTGTCAGTTTGATCCTGTATAGATAGTTCTTTAAAAGAGCACAATGATCAAGGCAGATTTTACTAATTAAGCTACACTATTTTTTGGTTTAAAGATGACTTCAGGGGATAGTTTCGGTGTAAGGTTTAGGAGATTATCTCAGCGCAATAGTTTGGGGGGTGGTGATTATGGAGCCTCATTGGCTCCAGAAAGTCTGGATTCCACGAGAATTTGAAATTCTCTTCCACCTTTTTCCCTAGACAAGGAAGTTTTTCATGTCCAGCTCTGTACCTGGTTTATCTTTATATCTTTTCCAGTATCTAGCTCAATGCCATGTACACAGTAGGGCTCAAAAAATATTTGTTGAATGAGTAATTTACTACTTAGGAAGGTTGAATCAAAGTTGAATTGGCCCATAATGATCTCTAGGATCTTCAGCAAATTATCAAATATTGTATAATTAAAATTATTTTATATCCTTTCTTTTCTACCACTGTCTTCATCATCCTAGCCTAGGAGCTCACCTACTCACAACATGAATCATTAGGAAATTCCTTAAGTGATCTCCATGCCCGTAGTCTAAATGGCTCTAATTCTAGCACCACTGTTGCCACTGCCTCTAGCACATGAGTAACTTTGCTAAAGGATCTATTTCATCTTGTCAATTCACTGATGAGTTCATGCTCATCTGCTTGCCCATCTCACTATGCTCACCCATCCACTCACTATCTGCCACTTCTCCTCAGCATGAATGCTCCACTCAGCCAAACCATGCTCATCCCTCCACCAGCCCTCCTTCTCCACACACATACATACAACCTACGCACATTTCCAACTTGAGACTTTCACCCCAATTCCAACAATCTCCCTACTTCCTCCATTGGTCAGGTCTTAGCTATCTTTCAGGAGTCCTTGGGTGGCACTAGTGGTTAAGCACTCAATGACTAACAGCAAAGGCTAGTGGTTTGAACCCACCCAAAGGCTCCTTGGAAGAAACCGAGAGCAGCCTTGGAAGAAATGCCTAGCAATATGCTTTTGAAAAGTCACAGCTTTGAAAACCCTATGAAGCAGTTCTACTCTGCAACACATGGGGTCGCCATGAGTTAAACTTGATGGAAACTGGTTTGGTTGTGTGTTTGTTTTTTTTGTCTTTTTTTAGCTCACTGTCAAGGTCCAGACTACTTTCCCCTTAATTTAGGATTCCATCTCTAAACTTTCTGTCAGAAGGGAAGTTCCAACTAGATAGTAGATAAGAATCATCTTAGGTGAAGGGAAGGACAACACATAATACAGGGGAAGTCAGCACAACTGGACTAAACCAAAAGATAAGAAGTTTCATGAACACAACCAAATACTTAGAGGGACAGAGTAGCTGAGGCTATGGTCTGGGGACCATGGTTTCGGGGGACATCTAGGTCAATTGGCATAAGAAAGTTCATTAAGAAAATGTTCTGCATCCCACTTTGGTGAGAGGCATCTGGGGTCTTAAAAGCTTGCAAGCAACCATCTGAGATGCATCAATTGGTCCCAAACCACTTGGAGCAAAGGAGAATGAAGAACATCAAAGATGCAAGGCAAATATTAGCTCAAGAGATATAAGGGCCACATAAACCAAAGACTCCATTAGCCTGAGACCAGAAGAACTAGATGGTGTCCGGTTACCATCAATGACCACCATGACAGGAAACACAGCAGAGAGTCCCTGATGGAGCAGAAGAAAAGTGTGGAGCGGAACTCAAATTCTAGTAAAAAGACCAGACTTAATGGTCTGACAGACTGGAGAAACACCAGAAGCCATGGCCCCCAGATGTTCTGTTACCCCAGAACTGAAGCCATTCCTGAAGCCAACTCTTCAGACAAAGATTAGACTGGACTGTAAAACATAAAATAATGCTTGTGAAGAGTGTGCTTCTTAGTTCAAACAGATACACAGGACCAAATGGGCAGCTCCTCTTAGGAGGCAGAATGAGAAGGCAGGAAGGGACAGGAGTTGGTTGGATGGACACAGGAAACCCAGCATGGAAAGAGAGAGTGTGTTGTCACATTGTAGGGGTTGCAAGTAGTGTCATATAACAATATGTGTATAAATTTTTGTATGAGAAATTAACTTAAGCTGTAAACTTTCACCTAAAGCACAATTAAAAAAAAAAAAGAAAGAAAAGAAGTTCCTGGTGGGAGACGCTGCTGAGTAGAAATGACTCACACATGACGTGCTTGACATTTGTGGTTGTTTTTGTCTGCTTGGCTCCACCTTCTCACTTTTCTTAGCAATAGCACTCCCTGCTCTTTGGGCAAACCGCTTCTCCACTCAGTTATGCTGGGTTGTATATCATAGTCATGCATCCACTGGTCATGAGGGTGAGGATGTGATTATGAAGAGGAAGTTACTAGAGGAGAGTCAAAGACAGAACCCAGAGGATTTTCATCATCTAAAAGGAATGCAAGAATAGGAGCTGAGAAAAAATGAAAAGCAATAGTCAGAGAGATGAAAGGAGAACTAGAAGAGAGGCACCAGAGAGAGCAAGGGAGAAGACTTTCAGGAATAGCAAATGCTGAATAAAGTGGGGTGAGATATGGAATGAGAAGAAGCCATTGATTTAGTAACCAGGAGCTCACTGGTAACTTTAGAGAGAGCTGATTCAGTACAGTGATGGGGGAAGAAGTTGAAGAGTGAGTGGGAGGTGAGGAAATAGAGACAATTATATAGCTTAACTCTCAAGTAGCTTAGATGTGTAGGGAAGAAGAAGCTAGAGAGACCTCAGGGTAGAGGAAGGACTTTTTTCACTGTTGTTTAATAAGAACTATTTGAACATGTTCATAAGTCGCCAAATAACAGAGGGAGGGAATAGAAACAAAATACAGGAGAAAACGTGAAAGGAAGATGGTGTTGAAGGAGGCATAAAGGATTGGATCCAGGGTCTATGTGTACGGATGATACTTTCCACAGAAGGAGGGACAGGAAGGCAAAAGGAGAAGAGATATAAATGCATATAAAGTCTGTTGGTGTAGGAGGTTGAAAATGTGTTGCCAGTGGCTTCAATTTTCTCTATTACGTAGAAGGTATCCCTCTGAGAGACAGGGCTGAGGTGTGATGGAGACTTGAAACTGTCAGTGAGGAAGTAGGAGAGGAAGCAATAGCCATGCTGTTCTGATGGCTCAGCTGAAGTTGGAAGTCTTAGAACTTCTGGTGGTACCCATCTACTTAGTTGTGGGATTTTCTCCAGCAGGGCAAGCTTAGGAGTGGAGAAGAGAGATTGACCCAAGGTTGGGAATTTTAAGGTATATGCTACAGAAGGACGAAAGGTTAGAAAGTTAAGAATAGTGTAAAGAAAGTGGAGGAAGCAGTGGATCATGGTGTCCAGGCAGCAGGCGGAAACCTTTAGGCAGGTGATAGATTGGGAAGAAAATGATAAATTGAAAGAAGAGTGTCTTGATGCATTCAGAGACTTTTGTGGTGATTCAGGAACTGACGAAGTAAAGAAAGAGCGTTATGGTCACATAATGGTATGTTAGAGTTTAAAATGTCAGAAAACAATGTCTGCTGGTGCTGAGATCCACAGTGGATGAAGGTCATTGAGTGTAGGAGCTGGGGTGCAGAGAGAATCTGCCAGTCAGGACTCAACGTTCTGCCTTTCTGTTCCCCAAGTCCCCTTGATTATGATTTCAGGTACTTCCAGTATGAGACATCATCTTTAAGAGAGGGTCTTTGGGTCACTTCTACAGACAACCAACGTATCATAGGCAAAGATTTTACTTTTAACTTCCTGAAAATAACCTTATTTTCAAGTTCTTAGGAGGACATTTCACCGTCACCTCCAATGTATTGCCCAATTATTTGCAATTTGTCTGTCTGTGTAACTTATTTCGATTTCCAAGCAATGCTGCCCTCACTCGGTTACTCTTTCTTACATGAATGGCCTATCCAGATTATAAACTCCTAGATTCTATTTCCATCCCTCCCAGAGCTGTAACTGTTCTGTGCATAATTGGTACTTAATTCTGTTTGAATGGCTGGCTGAGTGCATAAATGAACAAATGCTAGAACAGCTCTCATCTCAGGCGTGTGTGTGTATGTGTGCATGTGTGTGTGATTCATAGATGAATAGAAGTTTTAAAGGATAGAAGGGTCCTTATTGATGGTAGCTTAATTCACTCGCTCATTTTAAAGATGAAGAAACTGAGGGTCAGGAAGGAGACTTGCCCAAGGTCAAGCAGCTAGATTGAGCTTTTCAAGAATCTGAAAGAGGCCCATAAATCTTGGACTGTGTCCCATCTTCAAACTTGGTGTCCTACCTTCCTTATCTGAGGTAATTTTTGTATAATCTAAAACAGTGGATCAATATAGTTTCTCCCCAAACTAGTCATTTCAGTGAAAAATTAAAACAACTCAAAACAGCAATAACCCACCTGAATTTGCTCCAGGGGGTTGAACCAGTTCGTTCCAGTTAAAATCCCTGCTGAGAATCTGCATTTCCACCCCAGATATACTGAATCAGAATCTACAGTTTAATAAGATCCCCAGGTGATTCTTATGTATAATAAATTTCGAGAATCACTGCTCTACAAAGGTTCTCAGAATTGGTCCCTAACCAGCAGCATTAGCATCACCTGGGAACGTGTTAGAAATGAGCGAACCCATTCGAAGCCCTGATTTGCTCATTTCATTTTCACAGCTCTCAGCCTTGGTCATAGGCTACTGTTTCTCTGCCTTTTCTATATTGGAGAGAAATGAAACTTACTTCTCCAGGAATGCCACACACGTTTTCTGCCCATAGATCTGTGCAATTCTCTTGGGCGTGTCTCCAAAAAAGTCAGGGGCGTCGACGGCAGCGTGCAAGGCATGCAAAGTTTTCAGCACATTGAGGTGGCCGGACTCAGCTGCAAAATGAGCTGGAGTCCAGCCCACATCAGTCACCAGGCAGGGCCTGGCTCCATGTTCTATCAGCAGGTGCATCACCTCCTTTTGCCCTTAGATGTAACAAGAAGAAACAGGATGAGACTAAGAGAAAAAGTCTCTGCCAACCTGAGGCCAAGGCCAGCCTTGGTAATGCAGAAACAACAACAAAAAAAACAAACAAATGCAGTGCCAACCAGTCTATTCCAACTCATGGCGACCCCATGGGTTAGAGTGCAACTGCTCTCTAGGGTTTTCCCGGTATAATCTTAACGGGAACAGAATTATGAGATCTGATTGGACTCCATCCATCAACCGTTAGGTTAGTAGTCAAGCCCAAACTGTTTGCACCACCCAGGGGCCTAGATAACACAGAAGAAGGGGAGAATTTGCCTTTGAGGCCTCTCCAGTTTCCTATCATCCTCCCCTCCTCCCTTCACCCTCTCCTCCTTGCCAGACACACTCTCCTTTCTCCTCCAAGAAACTTGCCTCCACCTGGGGCCTGGGGCTCTACACGCTTTCCCTATACTCCTTCCTGGACACTCCCCTCACCTGTTCAGTCTCTTGGGCCCTCCTTAGGAATCCTGCTTTTCCTCTCAAGTCACACCATACTAAAAAACCAAAAAAAAAAAAAAAACCCCAAAAAACAAAAAACCAAGTCCGTTGCCATCAAGTCAACTCCAACTCATGGCAACCCTATAGAACAGAGTAGAACTGCCCCATAGGGTTTCTAAAGAGTAGCTGGTGGATTCAAACTGCCTACCTTTTGGTTAGCAGCCAAGCTCTTAACCACTGTGCCACCAGAGCTCCAACACACAGCAGAACAAACAGTAAACATGCTCGGCTACTAATTGAAAGGTTGGAGGATCAAGTCCAACAAGAGGCGCCTTGGAAGAAAGGCCTGCTGATCTACTTCCAAAAAAATTAGCTATTGAAAATCCTATGGAGCACAGTTCTACTCAGACACACATGAGGTCACCATAAGTTGTACTCAATGGCAACTAGTTTTTGGTTAAAGCTCACTCTGCTTTCAGCAGTCTCAGTGCCAATTTTAAAAACAAATATTTTTTTGTAATGTAAATCCCCCTTACATTATAGCACAGGTTAAAAGCATAGTCTTTCCAGTCAGGTAGCCATGGGTTCATATCCTGGCAATACCACTTAATAGTTGTGGCACCATAGATGAGAAATAGCTGCCAGAAGCTCCATGTCATAGATTGAATTATGTTCCCCCAAAAAATGTGTATATCAATTTGGCTAGACCATGATTCCCAGTATTGTGTGGTTCTCCTCCATTTTGTGATTGTAATTTTATGTTAAAGAGGATTAGGTGGGATTGTAACACCCTTACTAAGGTCACATCCCTGATCCAATATAAAGAGAGTTTCCACTGGGTGTGACCTGCACCACCTTTTATCTTACAAGAGATAAAAGGAAAGGGAAGCAGGTAGAGAGTTGAAGACCTCATACCACCAAGAAAGCAGTGCCAGGAGCAAAGCTCATCCTTTGGACCCAGGATCCCTGTGTGGAGAAGCTCCTAGTCTGAGGGAAGATTGATGAGAAGACCAACAGAGAGAAAAAGCCTTCCTCTGGAGCTGAAGCCCTGAATTTGGACTTTTAGCCTACCTTACTGTGAAGAAATAAATTTCTCTTTGTTAAAGCCATCCACTTGTATTTCTGTTATAGCAGCACTAGATGACTAAGACACTCCGTTTCCTCATTTGTAGATTAAGGGTATTATCACTTACCTCACTGAGTACTTGTGAAGTTCAAATGAAATCACAAACATAAATCACACAGCACAGTGGCCAGCACATAGCAAATGCTCACCAGAGGATGTTGTATAAGCCACCATCATTTTGTATTTAGATTTCTGCAAAAATGTCTCTACTGACTTCTCTGCAGCCAGTCTTGCTTCCTGCCAATTCATTCCCCACACAGGAGTCAAAACACATTTTTCAAAGGTAAGAAAGCAGCACTTTCTTACTTAACATTCTTCAGTGGTGTTCTGTTGCCAAAGCCCTTAACAAGCTCAGTGGCTGAGTTTTTCCATTATCCTCCTCTAATTCTACAATCAAGCTATATTAGGCATGGGGGATACAATGATGAGCAAGACAAAGTCCCTATCCTATAGGAAGCTCCATTCCTGTTAGTGGAGGAGAGGATAGAGGACTAACAGTCACTGAGAACAGACTACTGTAAGGGGAGGAACAGCCATTATCTTAAAGAATCCTCACCACAGGACTCCAAGGTAGCATTAAAAACCGAACCCACCACCATGGAGTTGATTCTGATTCATAGCAACCCTGTAGGACAGGATAGAACTCCCCCACAGGGTTTCCAAAGTTGGATATCTTTATGATAGCAGATTACCACATCTTTCTCCCACAGAGTGTCTGGTGGGTTCCAACTGCTGACTTTTGGGTAGCAGTCCAGTGCTTAATCACTGTGCCACCAGGGCCCCCATTTTATAGATGAGTAAACTAAGTCCCAGAGATGCTAAATAACTTGCTTAAGGTGCTAAAACTAGTAAGTAGTGGTGCCAGAATAGGAGCACAGGCCCATATGACTTCAAAGAAATGTTCTTTCTAGACTACCCCCATACAGTCTGATAACTACCCCCATACTGAATGATAACCTCATGAATGGTGGAAACAAAGAGATGGATTTTACCTAGGCATTGTCCACTCACCTTTGATTGCAGCCCAGTGAAGTGGAGTCCGGTCATTCCAGTCTACATCTTTGTAGTTTGGGTCACAGAGACCTTTCTTCAAAATCTTTTTCACTAAATTGTAGTCCCCTGCGGCCACAGCTTGGTGGATCTTTGTCTTCTCCGACATTTTAGTCAATTCCATGGCAAAAAACAACTGGGAGAGAGGCATGCCACTTAGGAAATTCTGTACAAACTTTTTTTCTTAGTGAGTGATTCCAGAGACTTCTTTCTGTATCAATGACTTTCTTTTCTGCCTCATGAATTTGCACCCAGGGTTGCCTCAGGTATGTGCTCTGCTAAGTATGTATTTAGATCTACATTACTGTGGTTAGTGCATACCAGTCTCCAACCCAGAAACTAACAATGGCTCCCCACTGCCTACAGAATTATGTCTAAGCCCTTGAGCTGGCATTTAAGACCCTTTGCTTTCTGGCCTCAAACCACCTTCCAGTGCTATCTCCTGCTTCTACTCCAAAGTGCTAGTAACATGACTTTGAATTAGTTACATAATTCTGTGCCTTAGCTTCCTCACTGTAGAATGATTATAATCTACCAGGGCTGTTTTGAAGACAAACTGGCAATCCATACGAAAAGTTTATATTGGATACAGAGCAGGTGCTCCATGGAAATTAAATATTATTGTTACACCAGTAGGGGAGATGGACAAGATGCAAACATACAAATAAAATAGCTAAAAATTTTTATCAATTTATGCCATAAACCAGCAGTTTTCAAACTATAGCCTATAGACCCCTGGAGATCCCTGAGGCCCTTTCAAGGAAGTCCATGAGGTCAAAACTACTTTGATTATAATATCAAGATGTTAGTGGTGACACTGCTAGTGACACAGTGTCAACTGTGTGAACAATTGCTCTGATGGTTTAAAAGCAATGATGGAGAAAACTGTTACTGCCTTAGTACGAATCAGGCAGCAACACCACACTGGACTTGTAGTCATGGTAGTCTTTACCACCACACACTCAGTAAGGATAAATCCAAAATGCAGTTTCAAAGGAACATCCTTAATGAAGCATTAAGAATTATTTTTTTATTAAATCTTGACCCTTGAGAAGAAGTCAAAGTATCTCTGTTTGCAGATGATATGATCTTATACACAGAAAACCCCAAAAAATCCACAAGAAAACTACTGGAACTAATAGAAGATTTCAGCAAAGTTTCAGGGTATAAGATAAACATAAAAAAATCAGTTGGATTCCTTTACACCAGCAAAGAGAACCTCGAAGAGGAAATCACCAAATCAATACCATTTACAATAGCCCCCAAGAAGATAAAATACTTAGGAATAAATCTAATCAGAGACATAAAAGATCTATACA